TATATCAGCGTCTGTAACACTATCCAGATATAGTGAATTTGATAAGGATACTCGAGATGGCTGTTTATTTAGAGAGCAGCAGTTTTTATAGTTATATAATTGTACATAATTGAATATATCAGAATAATAAACATACCTACACGATGGATAAAAAAGTATGAACTTATTCTTGTTATCATTTCATTTAAGTAAATTTTTCATTAGCGCAGGATCGAGGTATTTGGTTTATTTAACTTGTGAATTCGAAGTAAAGTGGCTAGGTGGCGACAAGCACAGTGGCAAAATAGTAAGTTACGTATATAAGTTAAGTATTTAGACAAGTGTTGTAACTTACTAGGTATTGGTACGATCCCTAGCTGCAAGCCGCGCGCATTTGGCGTCCGCGTGAATATTGACCCTTCTCAGCTGATATAAATTACACTGCTGGTTTTATGTTCATATATATTCTCTTCAAGTATTTTTATGATTTTTTTAATGAAATTATCGTTTCAAATAGGTGTAGTACATGATGGGGAGTGAATAAAGCTAATAAAACATTGTGAAAAGAATCCGTCGATTGACCTCTCGGTCGAAGTTGGACTTACCTAGTCGGACTATTTGTCCCAGGTAAACATACTCGTCAACAACTTCGAGCTTAATGCTCTTAACAACTACCGACGTAGGTGTGACATGAACGTTATACATGATCTTTGTTTTGTCCATGTTCATCTTAAGACCTATCCGTTGGGAGACACTATTGGGGTAATTGACTATGTATATCGTCATGATTTCTTATATTTACGCGAACACTACACATTGAATAAAACTACTTTTTTAAGGATTCTATCGCGTTTAATTAACTTATTTTATATTCCCGACGTTTCGTTTGTCACGGGGGGCTGAGATGACTGACGTCCTGATGTCAGAGTTAACCCTGTCTGATCTACGCAAAATGAACTTACTGTGTCTTGAAGTCTTGAAGTGGTATGCTTGGGTTTAATTTTAATTTTATGAATTATAGGATCCCAAGCAGGTGGTAGTACCCAGCCTCCCTCTCTATTGAAATTAGGATGTTTTTTAATTTCAATAGCCTCATGTATCATCCTTGGCAGGAATCGATGTTCTTTCGCGAGAATTTGTGGTTTATTCAATGTGTAGTGTTCGCGTAAATATAAGAAATCATTATGTAAACCAGTACGGACTGGAAATAGCAAATAAAATACGCCGATTAGAAGATCTCAAGACCAAGCGCGCAAGATATATAGATCTTAAAGCAGGCAAGCAAAAAGTTGTTAATAACGGTGATTCAGTAAAAACGTACCGATCTATATTTCATAAATAAAACCATAGACAAGTCGTACAGTGATCTAAAGACAGTTTCTATCGACATTTGATTATAAGAATTGCATGGAAACTTTAGATAAACGTGAAACAACTAAATACAATGAATGCGAAAATAAACATATAGATAAATACCAAAAACTAACAACCAAATCAAATTTCCAACACCAATGTCAACGTAAGAACGGAACGCAACCATTGAAAACAGACGCGAGTAATAACCAACGTGCGATCTATAACCTATCAAAACAATCTCTGGACGACGCGACAATAAAAGTTTTGGCCAAAGGTATGAATTTCGCAATAACACCGCAAAAAAATCCCGTATAAAAACATTATCTGTAGTGTTGAGGACTGTCTGTATAAAAATAATATTGGTGTGGGGATGCGAATAATCAACACACCACATATATTAAATAACCGTTTATTTCTACGAAGTTTAAAGTCGTGGATCGGAGCGCGGACGAGCGGCCTCACGGCGTCGGACGGTCACATCGACTGGCGAGGCGGCGAAAAACGAACCGGCTGCTCCAGCGCAGCCGAGGGCTCCCGACGATTGCCGAACGGTCAACAGCTACGGCCGTGCTGCCACATCAGCCCCCCCGGAGATCTTTACGGTCGGTAGAAGTCCGTAAACTTCACTTTTCGGCCAGATTTTGTGGTGTAGGCCGAGCTGGGTTCTTTATGTAGTTCTTCGGAGGGCTCCGTAGAATCGTTGAGAGTATAGGCTGGTTTCAATCTGTCAACAGACACCGTAATAATTTTACCATTTACGTTAATTTTAAAAGTTTTTTTATCGCGTTCTATGACCTTAAATGGACCGGAATAAGGAGGTTGCAACGCTTTCTTGATAGCATCTTGCCTTAGAAACACGTGCGACGCCTTATGCAAATCTTTATGAATAAATGCATTTGGGGTTCCATGTCGAACGACTATTGAGGGTTTTAACTCTCTTATATGTGAGCGTAACCTGGATACGAAATCTGTGTAGTCAGTGACTTGTTTTAGGCTCGATATAAAGAAATCACTAGGTAAACGTAACGTCTCACCGTACACCAACTCAGCAGCCGATGCTGCTATATCCTCTTTCCAGGCGCAGCGTATTCCTAGAAGAACTAGCGGAAGAACTTCATACCAGTCCTTATTTGCATGGCACATGATGGCACCTTTCAGTTGTCGGTGAAAGCGCTCTACGAGGCCGTTAGCTGCTGGATAATAAGCGGTGGTAGAGATGTGGAGAGAACCTGTGAGTTTAGATAGCTCTTTAAATATGTGCGACTCAAATTGTTTTCCTCTATCCGTGGTTATTTTATGAGGACATCCGAAACGCGAGATCCAGCCACGAGTAAAGGCATTAGCCACAGTTTCGGCTTTTATATCCTCCAAAGGAACTACCTCGGGCCAACGTGTGAACCTGTCTACGCACGTTAAGCAATATTTATAACCGTGCGAAACAGGTAATGGTCCAATTAAATCGATGTGCACGTGCGAAAATCTATTGGACGGTGGCGAGAAAGGTTGTACTGGCGATCTAGTGTGTCGAAAGACTTTAGAGCGCTGACAGTCTATACATGCACGTGCCCATTCTCTACAGTCTTTTTTCATACTGGGCCACACGTATCGTTGTGCTACCAACTTGATTGTAGCTTTCGCTCCTGGGTGGCTTAACCCATGTATCGAATCAAATGCTTCACGACGAAATTCTAACGGCAAATATAAACGAGGAGACGTACCGGATATGTCGCAGTACAGTTTCTTCCCGAAGTCAGAAATGGCAACTTTCTGCAGCTTCAGTGAAGAATTGCCTTCTATAAGTTTAACGAGGTCATTATCCTTTTCTTGTGAAATTTTAAGTTTTTGTAAGTCTATTACGTTTGAGATAGCGTCTATCCGAGAAAGTGTATCCGCAACAATGTTATCGTCACCTTTAATATACCTGATATCTGTAGTAAATTGTGATATGTAATCAAGGTATCGAAATTGTCGTGGTGATAAATTCTGTGAATTTTTATTAAATGCTGATATAAGTGGTTTATGGTCAGTGAATAATGTAAACGATCGAGCTTCTATCATAAATTTAAAATATTTTATTGCCTCATACATAGCTAGCAGCTCTCTATCATATGGGCTATACTTCCTTTGAGCTGTGTTAAGCTTTTTGGAGAAAAATGCTAACGGTATCCAGTCTGAGTCATTCTTCTGTTGTAGAACTGCTCCTACAGCAGTATCTGATGCGTCCGTAACAATCGCCAATTCTGCTGTCGGATCGGGATGAGCTAGTAAACTGGCATTTGCCAAACTTGACTTACTTTCTGCGAAACATTGTTCGAGTTTTGGATTCCAGGTAATGAGCGTAGATGGCTTTACATTTTCTCCTTTTAATAGAAGATGCAGCGGCGTCTGTACTTGAGCAGCGTTTGGTATGAATCGGCGATAAAAATTTAACATACCAAGATATCTTCTGAGCTCTCGTACATTTTTAGGTAATGGAAAATTTAAAATAGCACTGACCTTTTCTTTTGTGGGCCTCGTACCTTCAGCTGAGACCATGAAGCCTAAAAATTCCACCTCTGGTACTCCGAAGATGCTTTTAGCAGTATTTATGACAACACCATGCTCTCGAAGGCGCTCGAAGACTGTACACAAATGACGCTCGTGATTAGCTTCATCTTTTGACGCAATCAGGATGTCATCTAAGTAGGGAAAAGCGAAGTCTATGTCCCTAAGGATTTCGTCCATGAATCGTTGAAAAGTTTGCGCTGAGTTCCTTAACCCGTACCCCATAAAAGGAAACTCAAACAAGCCGAAAGGTGTAGCAATTGCCGTTTTACATACATCTTCTGGTGCGATTGGAATTTGATTATACGCTCGCACCAGGTCGATTTTACTGAACACTTGGCAGCCAAAAAGATTGTGTGTAAAATCACCTATATGGCGAACCGGATATCGGTCGGGGATTGTTCGGGCATTGAGCGCACGGTAATCGCCACATGGACGAAACGTGTTATCTTTTTTTGGTACTAAGTGTAACGGTGAGGACCATGCACTGTCGGAGCGCCGGGCAATACCCATTCTTACCATGTCCTCGAACTCCTGCTTGGCAATGCGGAGCCGATCCGGTGCTAGGCGTCGTGGACGGCAGAAGACAGGTGGTCCAGGCGTAGTGTGGATGAAATGGACGGTGTGGTGCTTCACTTCCCGTACAGCAGGATCTCCAGACGGCCGCGTGATTTCAGGGTACTGTGACAGCAGGCTATGATAGCGTGAAGTACCTGTAAACACTTTAATTTGGCACAAAGCAAATGATGAAGCAGAATAAGCCTTAGCAATAAGAGAGGTGGTATTGTCTACTAAACGATGGTGTCTAGCGTCTACGAGCAAATTAAAAAATGAAAGAAAGTCTATGCCGATAATTGGTTTTGTGACGTCAGCTATCACAAATCTCCAACTAAAAGCGCGGCGTAAGCCTAAATCTAAAGTTAAATTAACCCAACCATACGTAGCGATTGCTGAGCCATTAGCTGCGAAAAGCTCATAGTTTGTTTTATGTAGTCTCTTACTGCGTAATTTACACAACGGAAATACACTTAAGTCTGAACCAGTGTCCACTAAGTATTGTACTTTTGTTTTAATGTCTGTCACGAATAAGCGGCCTGGTGAACGGCAGTCATCGGCCGCCATTATGGACTGCCCTTGTCGTTTCCCTGTGAAAACGAGCAAGGGGAGCGACACTTAGTTGCAGAGCTACCAAACCTCCAATGGTACCAGCACTTCCATGTGCCAGTAGCAGAGCGGCTTCGTGAGCGGCGTTGACCATTGGGATGATGACCACGTGATCGGGAACGAGGGCGAGAACGTGACATTGTCAGAGAGGCCACCTGACGAGATAAGTCATCTAAGCGGCGCTTCAATTCTTCAAATTCGGACGAAGTTGACGGTGTGGCTGAAGTGGCGGTGTGATGTGGCGGTGTGGCTATGTGATGCACCTGAGGTTGGAGAGTGACTTCGTTGATCTTATCCGCCAATAAAGCTACATTATCCAAGTTTACATCTGTCTGCGTAGCTATGATAGCTTGAATATGACTTGGTAAGCGACTCGTCCATAAAGATCGGATAAATTCGTCTGGGACATCGGTTCCAGCCAAATTGCGCAAATGCCGTAGAAACTGCGAAGGTTTGCGGTCTCCTAATTCCTCGTGTGCCACAAGCTGCCGAACTCTTTGCTCTTGAGAAGCCGATAACCTCGATATAAGCTCCTTTTTTAACTTTTCGTATTTATTCTCAACTGGTGGATTAGTTATAATGTCTTTAACCTCCGATATGTATTTATAGTCCAGATTAGCAATTACATGGTAAAACTTTGTATTGTCCTGCGATATATTTGAAAGCACAAATTGTCCTTCTAACTGTACAAACCAAAGCGCGGGCTCGTCCGGCCAAAATGGAGGTACCTTAATGGCCACTCGACACACTTCTTGTTCGTCACTTGTCGTATTTCCACTCTTTGACATCATTACAACGGTCAATTTATTTAAACCGACAAAAAAAAAACACACAGTTCACACACACTGCACGACTATACAGTTTTTTTTTTTTTGAGAACTCGGGGTCACCAATTATATGTGGGGATGCGAATAATCAACACACCACATATATTAAATAACCGTTTATTTCTACGAAGTTTAAAGTCGTGGATCGGAGCGCGGACGAGCGGCCTCACGGCGTCGGACGGTCACATCGACTGGCGAGGCGGCGAAAAACGAACCGGCTGCTCCAGCGCAGCCGAGGGCTCCCGACGATTGCCGAACGGTCAACAGCTACGGCCGTGCTGCCACATTGGTAATGAAGATTTAGATGCCATACGTCAAGACATTTCGTCCTTGTTACGTCGAAGCAGCGTAACTTACAGTAGAGTTGGCCAGACTATTTATAAGTGTACGCATTGGATGGCTTATGTTTCTCTTTGCGCATTTGGCGTTTTAAATTTAGAGTTTTGAGGCGGCTTTTATCAAAACGATTTAATTATTTTAAAGATAGTAATCGCCAAGTTGACCTTCTTGTGGCAAGCTCCTCCCAACACTCAGGGTTTATACCGCAGGCATTCAGGTGTATCTTTTATCTTCTATGCGGAGGACGTGTCCGCACCACCTGAGATGACGTTGCACTAAAAGAGCTTCTATGTCGCGCATTCCAGAAAGGCGCAGAACCTTAGAATTAGGAACACGGTCCTGCCACTTGATCTTAGGACAGATGTCTAACATCTTTGTGGTGGTAAGAGTCAAGTTTCAAGTTTTTTGTAAAGGCGCCATGTCTCTGCACCACATAAAAGGACGAGAATAACTAGTGTCTTATAGTCGCTAATTTTCATCTCTAGCTTGAGATCATGTAATTTCTAGACAAGATTACAGAGTACTTCCTACCAAGGATGTACGCGAAGCTATTGAAATTTAAAAAAAAACATCCTAATTTCAATAGAGAAGATAGATGGGTGCTGCCATCTGCTTGGGATCCTATAATTAACAAAATTAAATCCAAACATAAGCATACCACTGCAAGACTTCAAGATACTGTAAGTTCATTCTGCGTAGATCGAATCAAAATTAATTTTCAAAAACTGAAATTAGCCGGGATAACTGTGACATCAGTACGTCAAGCATCTTAGTGACTCCCGTGACCATGGGTTGCTGTAAATTCGTCGGGAATTTAAATAAGTAAATTAAAAGCGATAAAATCCGTAAACATAGTTTCATTGAAACTGGTTGGCTTGTGGCAACCCCGGTGACAAATTGTTTAATGATTTGTTCCCAAATAATTTCATAAAATTAAATATTATAATTTCATAATTTCCATCTCAAACTTGAGTTTTAGTTGTGAATTACGACCAATTTGTATAGTATAATTTGTAAAAGTCGTCAATATCTAAATAAATAAATGTATTGTGTATTAACACAAGTGACAGCAGGTAACTAACTTCGTTTAGAGTTTTAAAGTTAGTATAAATTTACTGTAATTCTTGTTGTCCCCATTTATATTTACGATATAACATAAAAATGTTGTTGTTGTTTGCGGATTTCATTTTAAATTGTTTTCTTGATAATTTGATTTGATATCTGTTAAAATCCTACCTACAATTGGACATTTGCTTACTATGCTTCTTTGATTTTCCATTTTTGTTTTCTTTTACAATTTATAGTACATAGTAAAATGAATACTCACAATGCCAGGACGCGCCAGATGGAAAACCAACTTCATCTTGCGCTCCAAGAACTGAAGGCGTCCAAGGAGCAGTGTGAGCAGTTGGTTAAAAAAAGGGATGACAGTGAAAAATAAATAATGAGTATAATTTATAAAAATACACAATTAATAAGTGATATGTTAGATAAAGTTGCATAGACACTATACAACTATTTTAAAGGAAAGAGATCAGCTCCAGGAGATAGTCGATGAGTTCAACCGATGCAGCAAAGAATATAAGGAATCCCTCAGATTAATTGGTGTATTGGAGTTACAGTTAATAAAGGCTAATGAACAAATTTTGCAATTTAAACAATTTATAGATCACTTGCAAGCATGCCAAACTCAGAGTCTGTTCGATGAGATCGTAGAATGCAAATCAATATATTTGACTGGTGATAATTCTGTACATCAAGAACAGCAGAAAAGAACAGAAAGGAAAGAAGAATAGTAGAAGGAAATTATATATATATATATATATATATATATAAATTGTATTCAGTTGACGCGGAAAACATGAAAAATTGTTATGAGACTGATATAGAGTGTCTTATTTCAGAAATTTTATCTTTTCAAACCTCATTACAAATTATGTCGAATAAATATAAATCAGAAGAGAATGAGATAAAAGAACACATACTGACGATGGATAATATGGTAAAGTTATGTAAATATATGGAAGGACGTTTTGACTCCTTATTAAAATATCAAAATGAATATCAATTTTGTACGTGGTAGAGCCATGCTGCAGCTATATTAGTAGTATAGTTGTAGCATGAATCGGTCGGCTCGACCGGGGAAGGACCACACTCTCACAGAATACTAGCGTAAAATGGCAGCTTGACACTGCTGTGTTTCGTATGGTGAGTGTAGAGAACCTGAGACCCATTTTACTGGAAAAGAGGCATTCCATCTTAGTCCTCACGGGTAACGACGCATCATCTGCATTTTGATTCTCTATCGAGGATAAATGTAGATTTCTATGGGTCACAGCAAACACTTACCATCAGGTGGACTGTGTGCACGTTTGTCACCGTAACCTATAAAAAAATATCAACGCTCAATGCCTGGTTCTTTACGGAAAGTGTGTGTTAATAACACAACAAGCAATATTGACTCATTTTATTCATCTACAATCCATGACTGTACTATAAAAAAAAATATAAAACCATGAAGTAATTCACATAAGGAAAAAAATAAAGTTATTGTGTATAATGATGACATAGGTAAAAATTTGGGAATATCATTAAATAAATATTTAAAAGAGCAACAGATAAATATTAGGTCCTTACATATGAAATTGGCGTTTTGTACGGGAGGAATATAAAGTCAATTTTTTTTGTAAAATATATTAAATTAATCAAAGTATGCACCGTTGTTATCTATGTAATTTTGCCATCTCATAGGTAGTTCATTGATCCTTTTACTAAAAAAATCATGGGGACGAAAATCAATAAACTCTTTGAAGGCGGACTGCCGCATCGGAGTTGAATTTTTTTCGTTGTAAGAAGTTGTCCAAATTCCGAAAAAAATGGTAATCTATTGGAACAAAGTCCGAGGAGTACGGTGGATGTCTCAGACATTGTAGCTCATCTAACTTAGTAGTTGTTTGTTGTGCAGTGTGTGGTCTTGCGTTGTCGTGAAGCAGCAGTGGCCTAGAGCGATTGACCAATCTCAGTTGTTTAGCAGCTAGTTCTTCCTTCATGGCTTGCAGTTGCTGACAATAGATATTTGCCGCAATCATTTGGCCAGATTTTAGAAAGCTGTAGTGAACGACACCGGCGCTAGTCCACCAAACACTCACAAGTAAATTTTTCTGAGTCAATTTTGGTTTAGGGCAGGATTTGGCTGGGTCTCCAGAGTTCAGCCATTGCGACGAGCGCTTCCGATTATCGTACAGTATCCACTTTACATCACAAGTAATGATTCGATTTAAAATCCCTTCATTATTGTGTCGGTTGAGCAAAGTAATACAGCAGTCGACGCGTGTTTGCAAGTTCGATTCACTCAATTCATGGGGTAGCCATCGTTCAAGTTTTTTTACTTTCCCGATTTGCTTCAAGTGTAGTAATACAGTTTTATCACTTACCCCGAAGCCTGCAGCTATCTCTGAAGTACTTTGGGATGGATCCGCTTCCACAATAGCCTTTAACTTGGTTTTGAAAGTCGAAATTTCCAGAACGAAAACGTTGAAACCAAAAACGTGCTTTCTTTTGCGACACCAGCACTGTACACATTATTAATTCTTCGAGCTGTTTCTGCAGAACTGGTGCCACGGTAGAACTCGTAATCGTAAATATACCGATATTTCATGTTTTCCATTGTGCGGTAATAAGCGACGCCAAAGAAAAAAAAAACCAAATGCGAGTCGGACTCGCGCACCGAGGGTTCCGAACGAATCCGTAGGTATATAAGTTTAAAATTATTAAAAAATATTTTTAATATATGATGTAACTAAAAATTTATACTTTTCGAAATTTTTCCTTTATCTGTGCTATAATACGTTCCTTCGTACCAAATTTTAAGATTCTGAGTTCACGGGAGGTATCCTGTAGGTTTTGATTCCCTTGCGAATGAAAAATTTGCGGCATAAATGGCTGTATCTTTTAATTGCGTTGGCTTAGAAGTTTGATTTTTTCACAGCTTCAAGGGACAGTAGACTTGAGTATTTGATATGTTTTTCAGCTTGATACCTCCAGACAGACAGACTGACGGACAACAAAGTGATCCTATAAGGGTTCCGTTTTTTCCTTTTAAGGTACGGAACCCTAATAATGAGGAAAAAACAAACGAATAACTGTTTTAAAAACTCAAATGTACCAGCTAAATGAATTTATAAATTTGAATTTAGAATTCTTAACCAAAGAGGATTAACCAAGGAAGATTTCAGATCAAAGTGGTCAGTACGACAAAACGCTAATTTTATGTGTAAGGACCTAATAATTATTGCATGCCTGGAGCATCATTAAGGCAAATAATGAATAAAATTTTAACTAGTAAATTTTGCTCTAATACTACATTGATCATTCTTGTTGGAAGAAGAGGTAATGTGAACAAAAATCAATTATTAAATATATTGAATGTCTAACTTAAATGTATATAAAGTTATCATGTTTACATTACCTTACATACAGGGGTGGCCACAGGAAAATTATCTAACATATGATTTAAATTTATTAATGAATAACTTGACACGTAATAGTAATTTAAATTTGACATTTAAATGTAAGAATTATAATGATAAATTTCTTGTGATTGACATAAATAATTTAATTAAGAA